CGTATGAAGCTTCTGCTTCATAACGCTTGCAGCATTTAATTCATTCAGCTCTTCATTTAGTAGTTCGGTCCCATGTGAATCAAGCAGTCCTTCCATATCTCATTCATCAACTTCTAATTTTAGTTGTTTCAACCACTCAGGAAATCTCTCCGCTGCTTCATATCGCAGCCAGACCGTCTTCAGAGACTGCAACAATATGAAAACCTGCGTGGTTCCTTGCTGTAAATATAGCAATTCAATCATTACTTACCACAAAGCACTGAGAACCATGTGGATATTTTTATTATAGGTACTCACAAAGACTTATTGACTTCATCTGAACCATTATTAAACTTAGCGAAACATGTTTTTGGCTTTTATTTCACTCTACATGGTTAGCAATTTTTCCATGTCCTAAATCCACCGCATTAAAATCATCTTCGTTATCTTCATCTTCCATGGCCGCTTCTCTTTTCGGGTCGCGGAGGCAGAGGCGTCAGACAGGGCTTCCAACGTTCCCGAACCTGTGCCAGAGTCTGAGCTTCGGCAAGAGGCAAATGGAGTCTAAAACAAACTCCTTACAAATATTTGCACCAGGTTAGTCTTGGCCGTCCCCTGGGCCTTTTGCATCAGGATCGGGAACGTTGGAAGCTCTGTCTGATGCATCTGCCTCCGCGACCCAAAAGAAGCGATTATGGAAGATGAAGATAAAATGCTAAGTTTGGATCTAATTAATGAGTTAATTGACTTCTCAGAAGCTTTGATCTCAGAAATTTGTGTGATCGTTCATACGCATGACGTAGATACACCCAAAGACGGTCCACGTTCACTTAACACTGGCCTTATTCAGGCTGCTTGAACAATTGTACATCTTGTTTGAGCCATTATGCATGCACCACTCATACTTCATATGGCGTCATGTAATACATCCTAATAAAAACGTTACATACCATTTAGTGATGATCCTATGGTACGTTCTCCAGTTAGACCGCTCAGCAAACCTTATAGAAAGTGAACGTTGATTGGAGAACAACGAGTGCCATAATTTATTAATCAATGTTTTACGCTAAAGAGAACATTGGCATTCGCAGAAGGATCAAGATTTTACCTAACTCATCCGTTAACTAAAGTGGAGATAATATGGCAGTCAGTTATTTGCTTCGATAACAGATATCAAGGCATGGCCACCGTCCTTTCGTCTAAATCTGAAAAAGAGACAAAATATCCAAAATCCTTACGTGCTTGACAACCTCGCGTATCATTTTATCGCCCTTTGCCTTTTGATAGTCTCCCTGGTTTTTAATGAGTTTTGAAACAATCCTTATGATCACAGCCTGTTAAAGATTTCCCTGCGTAGTGGCTGACATATGGGTTTGTCATTGCTTTGCAGAACGGAATTCAAGTCTTACAGATCTTCACTTCTTACAGAGAAACAGCAAGTTTAACAACCACGCAACCCGAAATAACGGCCTACATATCCAATGCCACGTGGATGAGTAGTTCTGCTTCAATGCTGAAATGAAAGTTAGAGATTGCAGGTGAATATAAATTAAATATGTTAGATTTATTTATTCATTTTCATGATACTCATCATAAGTAAATCACAACTCCTCCAAGAACTGATTTCTTGGCGCATTTAACCGACCCTTTGCATCTAGCTTCCTATGGGGCCATTTAAGCAGGTCGTATCTCCATGGTTTTTGAACACTTGCAGCCCCAGTTACAACTCACATTATTTCGTTACTCAAAGCAGCCTCATTTTTATTACTAACGATTTTGCTGGAACTGATGCTTTTTGTGTACTCGCCTGTAGATAACGCATAACTCCTTCACGGGCAGGTTTTATTGTGTATTGTGTCTTCCCTGGTGCTATTCAACATATAAGATGTTCATACAATACCATATAAGGAATACTATCTCCTGACATATAGTTCTTGCCTAGGCGAGGTGTCCTTATCGAACAGATCGTATGCCACATCCATTTGGTGCTGCAGTTAATCAAATGTTATGGCTCTATATTCTGTTCAATAGGCGACTAGATGCAAGAACAGTATTTGAAAGCCAAGTAATTTCGGTGTCAAAAATTAAAATATTTTGACTATAAAAAAAATTGGAAAGTGCAATGAAGCAACAATCCCAGAAAAACAGCGCTGCATATTGTATATATCTACAACGCATCAGGGAACGAAATATGGCCATGTAGATCAGTTATATAACGTTTTGTATTGCATGCCTTTTGCACATGTTATTGGGATGTTTGTTTCAGGACCGCGCCATCTTCTTGCCCATATATAAATATGTATCAAGGGCTTTATCAGCGCTTTCAATGGCGCTCGCTAGCCGTTCAGACGGTTATATTTTCGATACGTGGAATTGTAATTATATTACTTCTGACAGAAATATTTGATAGAATTAATGTGTACATAAGACTATTAGAACTGTTTTACTGGTGAACTGTAGGTCACCTTGCATTTGCTCGTTTCTTCTGTACATGGCCTTCTGGTCAGTTCAATTTAGTCACTTTAGTGGTGTTGCTTGTTTCTTCTGTATGCAGCATTAGTGTTGAAAGGCAGACGTGATTTACTGGTTGTCGCAATAAACTTGATTTTCCTTGAATGAAATGAACGATTAAATTTGATTAATAAAACTGCTCAATGAACCAAGGGATGAATTAATGAATGAAGGCTAAGATTACGTAACAAAAACCTGCTTCCATCAGTTCCAATGGTTCATGTCGAATCATTGCGTTTGAATACAACCATCGAGTTTCATCAATGAATTGTGTACGGCTCTAACGCCAGTGAATGAATCATAGCGGAAACTAATATTTCGAATTGTCTTTGCCAGATTCTGTTTCGGATTGAATTGACTATAAGATCAGCAGGTACCTTTCATTATCAACAATGAACGAGTGAAGATGGACATGTTCCTCGTATTGCAGTGTCAGTTCGATTCCTCTATAACTTTTGTTTCGTGCCCTCACGCGACAAAAACAAATTCAGCACCAAACATATCTAAAAGTGGTTGCCCTTGCAGAAAATGGTATGAAGAAAAAAAAGAACATAAGTTCACATAAACATTCACTTACATTCAGACCAGCGCAATAGTTTTCCGCTGATGCTGTCGTATAGAATGATTAGTGTAAGAAATTACGCTGCTTAATAAAATAAACTCGCACGACGTTACTTCCCTAGACTTTAGGTGGCGAGAGGGGAGGCATCTAGGCAGGCCAAGGTTCCATGATAATCGAATATCGTTTTACGTAGATACCCAAAAGAAGTTGATTGAACAATGTGCATGTCTGTAACATCGACTGAGGCTACGGCTGAAATGCAAATATTTGGAAAAGCCTAGTGCGTTTTCTTTCTCCTGCCCGTTGCTCTCTTCAGATTAATAAAGACGCAGTGGAGCAGGTGGAGAAGTTCAAGTACCTCAGGTTCGTGTCTATTGGTGATGGAAAATTTGAGGAAGAGATCGTCCGGCTGATTGGAATAGCCAGTGGCGTTCTGTATGAACTAGCCCGAACCATTGTGACTAAAGGAGAGCTGAGTCTGAACATCAAGCTCTCGGTATTCAAGTAGATCTTCATCCCCAGGCTTACCTACGGCCATGAGTCATGGACGATGAGTGAAAAATTTCGTTCTCGGGTAAAAGCGGCAGAAATAGGCCTTGTATGACGAACCGCTGGACTTATGTGTTTCGACAGGGTTGTCCGGTGTATGGAAATCTACGAGAGCCTTGGGGTACATCCGCTATTCCTCAAGATTGACAAGTCATAGCTGTTATGCAGGTTTGGGCAGGTGTTGCGACTACCTGTAACAAAGAAAGCTAGCAACTACGTTTCCCCAAATGACTTCCAGAAGACACTGGGGACAACCAAGATAAACCTGGGGTTAGTGTATTGAACGAGTCTACTTTAGACTCTGGTTGTCTTCCGCCGAAGCTCATACTCTGGCACAGAATCGGAAACGTTGGAAGCACTCTCTGACGAGTCTGCTTCCGCGACTCGAAAGGAGGAGCGGCCATGGAAAATGAAGATGCAAATATTAGGAACGGACAGAATTTCGGTAATTTATCCATAGCGGTGAGGAGAGCTGTGGAACTAGAATATTTACTCAGCTAAAGAAGATAAATTTGCTTTTTTTCCGTATGATCAGAAAACAACGTTTCCTGATTGAATATTAGTCGAAACGCCTACAACTACTTTCGATACCGTACGTAGGTTATGGCAACGACATTACAACGTTCCTTATCTAATGCAATCATTTCTCTTCTGACTGAGGAACCAAGTAATAATAAGTTCATGCAAATGTTTATGATCTCATGTAAATGTAATACGACAACTCAAC